GGTCTGATGTACATGGCAATTTTGGTGAGTTTTTGAGTATGTTTAGGGCCTCAAAAACGCGTGTCTTTGGCACGAATAATAATAATAATCCGAGCAGTTCCAATAGGGTCTTCGCACCCTTTTGGGTGCTCGGACCCTAATAATAATAATCCGAGCAGTTCCAATAGGGTCTTCGCACCCTTTTGGCTGCTCGGACCCTAAAAATAATCACAACGGTCACAATAGAGTCCTTGCACTGGTGTGCTCGGACCCTAATTAAACTCAGTGAATCCAAAGATTCCCTGAAAACAACTGATGAGTGAAAACCTGCAGCAGAACCTCAGGAAGCAGAACCTCAGCAAGCAGAACCTCAGCAAGCAGAACCTCAGGCAGCAGAACGCTCCTGGAAAAGAAGAAGACAATGAGTTTGCATTTGTGCAAAATTTAAAAAGAAAAAAAAAAAGAAAAAGGCGCACTTCCACTAACAGACAGCAGAGGGCGCCACCCTCTAAGAATTCAATCCACACCTCCAGGACCTTCTGGATTCTATTCGTGGCACTAAAAGCTTTAAAACTGCACTTTTTTTCTGCATCTATTTGCATCAGTAATTTGGGTTATTTTTACTTCTCTGTAAGTTTAACGGATGTGATCAAACCCAGACCCACCAGTAAGAAGACTTTATTTCTAACCAGTCATAGCTCTTGTTTTTAGGAACTGAAGCCGAACCTGTGATCCACTAACGAACCTGCGGGTCTGACGGACAGGAACGAGATCAAAGACGAGACAAACACGCAGCGTTATCTGGCCTCCCAGACGCAGCATCTCAAATCCCCTTAATCCAGATCTGCTGTTTGCGAGGCGGCACGTGCACGCTCCCCCCTCGTGCGCGCTCACACTCGCACGTTTCCAGATGGTTTTTTTTTCTAAGCAGCTATTTTACCAACAAACCTGCTCCGTGCGACGCATCGCTGCAAACAGAGGTCACCGGCAACGTTAATGCAACGCGCGGCACAACGGGCCTAATGCACTCAAATCCTCCCGGAAGTTGCGCCGAGGTTCTGCCCCTGAAATAGTGGAGAGGGCAGATTAGGGGGCGAGACGTGAGAAGGCTGCGGGGTGTAATAGATGGATTTCCTTCTGCTTTCTGCTCAATCCAGCTGAGCTCCCAAACAGCTGTGTGCAGATTATCAAGAGGAGGCTGTGCAACAATGACACATGGAGAGCTTCGGTTTCAGGCCGGTTCTTCTTCTCTGGTTTGTGTGGAACGTGGTCCGTCCATTGGAGGCAACACAGAACACTCAAAGTAATATTTCCTCATTTTAAGCAAAAATAAATCTGCAAATGGGATAAACAACAAAAGTAGCCAAAACAAGACGCCACAGACCAGCTGACAGGAAGTCAAACGATGTAGTTCCTGGATGAGGAGCCTGAACCGTCCAGAGAAGGTCGTCGTTCTGGAAAACATTTATTAATTTATGGTTAGTTTCATGACCTCTTATCTTCTCCTGAGTGGTTCTGATCAACTCCAGCTGCTGACTCCTCTGATCCAGTTTCAACAGAACCATCTGATCCACTCATTAGACTCAGACACTACAGTGGGAAAGTCTGAGGAGCTCAGCAAAGATCTGGAGAAGAACATCATCAGAAAGTCACTTGGAGCCATTTCAGAGCAGCTTCAGGTCCCAGAACCATCAGTGTGTCAGCATAAAGTTCATGGTCCAGTTGTGTTACTGCCACCATCAGGAAGGAAACACAAACTAGCAGCTGCTGCTGAGAGACGACTGGTCAGGATGGTCAAGAGTCAACCAGGAACCAGCAGGAAGCAGCTCTGGATGGACCAGAAGCTGCTGGAACACAGCTGTCAGTGTCCACAGGGTCTGACATCAACATGAGCTGAGAGGCTGATGGAGAAGGAAGTTCTTCCTCTAGAAGCAGAACCTTAAAGCTCCACTGAAGTCTGCTGCTGGTCACATGGACAAAGAAAAGGCCTTCTGGAGGAAAGTTCTGGTCAGATGGAATAAACACTGAGCAGAACCATGTCTGGAGGAGAGAAGGTGACGCCTATAACCCCAAGAACACCAAACCTACCATCAAGCATGGAGGTGGCAGCATCATGCTCTGGTTCTGTTCTGCTGTAGATGGACCAATGAAGAAGGAGGATCACCTCCAGGTTGTTCAGGAAAACCTGAAACCATCAGCAGAAGGTTGATCTTGGACACAGTTGGATGTTCCAACCAGACAATGAGCCCAAACACACATCAAAGTGGTGAAGAAATGGTTCCATCAGGCTGGAATGAAGGTTCTAGACTGGTCTCCCCAAAGTCCTGACTGGAACCATCCAGAACCTGTGGACTGGTGAAGGAACAAGTCTGAGTCAGAAAGACGACGAGTTTAGTTGAACTGCAGCGGTTCTGTCCAGAGGAGTCAGAGATGGACCAGAAGCTAAAAGAACTGAAATGAGATGAAAATGGACCAATGGACCCAAACATCAGCATCACGGTGTGAACATGTTTGACAGATTTTGTCTTATTTCCTTTAATAAATCTGTGAAAGAACCAAAATAAGGGACAAAGATTCGTGTGTTTAAATGATTCCATCACAGAAAATTCAGAGTTCTCAGAGTCACTGTCTTTAAAAGTAGAAAGATGACTTCCATAACTACCATGAAACAATAAATAAATATAAATATACAAACACGGTGTATTAAATGTCCTCTCCTTCACTGTTTGTGCAGCTCAGCCTGAAAACTGACGGTTCACCTTGAAAACGTGCGAGTTGTGCACAAACCTGCGATAATCAGTGTGTTATCAGGATCAGCGGAGTCTCTGCACTCAGCCCCACTTAACAAAGACCACTTTCATTATCTCACAGTGTGTGTGCGTGTGCGCGTGCGTGCGTGCGTGTGTGTGGGCGTGTGCGTGCTGGAGGCGGGTCTCTGCCTCCTGGTTCATCCCGCTTCAGTCCGGAGCAGCTCGTCCTGACGCGCGGACGCACTTCTCTCCTCTCCGGAGCAGAGCGCACACCGAGCTGCCGGGGAGAGAGCATGACGTCCCGGCCGGCGGCCCGCGGATCCCCGCTGAGGGACTCTGACTGGACCGAGTCGGTCCGGAGGGAAGTCTGAGAGTTCTCTAAGGCTCACCGAGGCTCCGTGTTCGGACTTCTTCCAGGCGGGAGCTGACGAACAGCGACGGAGAGTTTGTTTGTGGATGTTTCGCATCTGTTCCTGCCTGATCATGGAGTTACACACATAAAGAAAAGACGTTCGCTCGTTTGCTTTTCGGGTTGCAGCCGAACCGAACACACAGGCTTCAGTGGAGTAACTTTTGCGCGGCCGTCATGGAGCCGGAGGAGGGCAAGATCTCGGTGTGGGTCTGCCGGGAGGAGAAGCTGGTCTCCGGCCTCACCAAGAGAACCACCTGCGCCGACGTGGTCCGGGTCCTGCTGGAGGACCAGAACCTGCAGCAGGGCGTCTCCGCCGCGATGCTGTCCGGCTCCCCGCAGTCCTACTGCGTGGTGGAGAAGTGGCGGGGCTTCGAGAGGATTCTGCCCAACAAGACCAAGATCCTGCGGCTGTGGAGCGCCTGGGGGGACGAGCAGGAGAACGTGCGCTTCGTCCTGGTCAAGAACGAGGCGTCGCTGCCCAACAACGGGCCCCGCAGCGCCGAAGCCCGGGTGGTCCAGAGCCGGGAGAGCGGCGGTCCGGGCGGGCTGCTCAAAGGCACCGCCAGGACCTGCTGGACCGCCGCCGCCGCCGCAGCCAACTTGTCCCAGGAGAAGCAGCGGCGCATCGTGAGGAAGGCCTTCAGAAAGTTGGACAAGATGAACAAGAAGAAGGAGCAGGCGGTCTGCAAAGACAAAGGTTCGGTGGAGAAGATGGAGACGCTGGTCCATCTGGTCATCTCCCAGGACCACACGATCCGCCAGCAGATCCAGAGGATCAAGGAGCTGGACCGGGAGATAGAGCGCTACGAGGCCAAGGTGCACTTCGACCGCATCAAGAGACACGGAGTGAACTACGTGCAGGACACCTACCTGGTGGAGGCCGACGCTCCGGCCGCCGACGGGGCGCGCACAGCGGAGCGGCAGGACGCGCGCTGCTCCGCGGAGGCGCTGGCGCAGTTCGAGGAGTACGCGCGGCGCTGCGAGGAGGTGGTTCGGCTGCAGGAGGAGCTGACGGAGCGGGAGGCGCTGATGGAGAGCATCACCGGGGAGATCCAGGAGGAGCTCAACCGGCGCTGGATGAAGCGGCGGCGGGAGGAGAGGGGCGCGGAGGCGGCGCAGGACGCGGACAGCGTCGCGGAGGAGATGTGCGTCGCCGCGTCTGCGTCCGCCGCTGCCGCTCCAGCGGCAGAGCCAGATGTGGAGAGTCTGTCCGAGAACGAGCTGGTTCTGGAGGAGGAGCGGATCAAAACCCAGCTGGACACCAGCCTCTACATCGGCCTGCGGCTGAAGACCGACCTGGACGCCATCAGGGGGGACTTGGACCTGAGTCTGGCACTCTGGGAGACCAAGGAGAGCGAACTGCTGGACCTGCTGGCCAAGGTGGAAACCATGGAGATAGAGCAGGTGACCCGGAAGCTGGAGGACGCCGGGCCGGTGGAGCTGGGCCCGGGGGGCGCCGAGGCCGAGCCGGGCTCGTCTGAGAGGAGCGGCTGGGTGGAGCAGGCCCGCGGGCTGGCCAAGGCCTGCAGCACCAACGACGAGGACTCGGACACGGGCCTGAGCTCGATGCACAGCCAGGACTCGGACAACCCGCCGGTGTGCGAGTCTCTGGTGTGAACTGATGGAGCTTTATGCAAGTCAAAGCCACAAACTCAGGGCAGAGAATCAGTGTTGGAGGTCAGGCCTCTGTGGGACTCTATTCTACAGCAATAACCTGCTACATGTAGTCAATGCACAATAAGCTAGACGGGCAGCAGAGGAGCAGGGACACTCTGAGAACTGATGCAGGGCCTTCGTCAAGCAGTTTAACTAAATCTGAGGCTGCAAGGTAACAAAACTGATCTAATTACTGAGTTAGATCTGTGTTTGAGTTGCAGATGTTATTTTATTTTATTTTGATTTTAAAAAATGTTGCATCATCTTCATAGTTCTGCAAACTAAACTCAAATTTCTAAATTCAAATTGAGGTCATAAAACTGGCTCCTCCACCGGCTACTAAAAGATGGAGCCCCAAAAATCATTATAATACACAATAAATGAACTTAAATACACTTTAAAAAGTCACGCAAAAGCTCTTAATCCACCTCCAGCTGCTAAGATGTTGCAGCCAAACATGAAGTAAATGGAAATGATAAATTCCTGTAACTCAGTTTAGTTTGTTGCTTGGACGTAATTTCATCAGAAGTTTGTCTGGAGTCTAAATATTGATGCCAGCAGCTGATTTTGCTGGTGTTGAGCCCAGACTTTACTTTTCAGAGTGTGCTGCTGCTCCGTAGCCGACCTTAGACCTCCATGAGGGGCGTCAACAAAGCACCACTTGTTAGCAGAAACAGCCTAGAAGAGCATTAAGACACTTGTAATCCGCAGACTAACTTTAATTCCATCTTGTGAATCTGAAAACTTGCTGAAGCGGCTGAAACGGTTTCCTGTTAAAGGTCGAGTGCAGCTTAAAAGTCCGTCGGCTGCAAAACCTGCTGCAGAGGCTCTTTTTTTTTTTAATGCATTGAGTCAGTTCAAGTAGAACCGACCGCTTCGCGTTCTAAAGGGTTCGGAAAAATCGATGTGCAGAGTTCACAGCTTCTTCCTGCAGCACAAAGCGTCATATTTATTGAACCGCCGCGTTAAAGCAGCTTCCACAGTCTGGACTTCAAAACCAGGCGTCTGATTCTTCATCAGGATTGTCTGAAGTGCTGGTTCCCAACTTTTGAAAGCTCACGACCCTTTAAAACAACACAAAATCCCAAATCAGCGTCATTTCTGTGAACATTTCAAGCCGGTAAAAGCTTTTAAGATGCTCTGTGGAGTCAAGAACAAGAAAAAAATATAGATAAATAAGTGTTAATATAACTAATAACTGATTTCATAGATATTTATTTATTGGACTGGCAGGTTTGGAACTCCTGGTTCTCAAAAAAATCTGGTTTTATCTGCAACTGAACTGCACATTCTTTAAAAAAATAATAATTGAAGGGACTTATTAATTAAATGCACGGTTGCAAGATAAAGTTTCTAATTTACTAATTTAGAAAAACTCAAGTTTCAAACAATATTTTGTTGCATCAACTCAATATTCTGTGTAACTCCAACTCAAACGTCTGCGTTAGTTGACCCAACTTAACAATTTGGATTAATGAGTTTTTCTTCAGGATTTCAGGTCTTCTAATGTGTTTTAACACCTGCACAATATCAGGCGGCTAATTGGAAAGAATTTCAGCTGTAGAAGAAAAACTAATCCGTCCAACTCAATTTAATTTGTTGGTTGAATCTGATTTGGTTAGAAAGTTGTCTGAACTCTAAAAGATTCATGCAGACTGTGTTATATCTGCTTCGTTAAGCCCAAACGTTATTTTTTTTGTGTTTGTAATTCATCACAAAGTCCTTCATCTTTAGTATTTATTGTCATATTTTACCTTTTTTTAAGCCAAATAATTTTATATTTGTTATTAGAATAAATCAGAAAAGCCTCAAACATCTCATAAAAAGGTTGTATTTTAGCTCAAACTGATTTTTTTTAGTGCCTGAATTTAAGATTTCGTGGTTTAGTTGTGTAGAAGTGTCGATTTTTGGGTTGAAACTGGCAGAAAAAGGCTCCAACAATTCAGCAAAAACACGTCCAAGAAAGTGTTTAAATCAGAAGAGGCAGATTAAAAACAGAGATATTTAGAATTTTACTCACTTTACGATCCCAAAACTGAGCATTTCACCTTTTGCCTAAAGCACCTGGATGTTTAATCGGACGTGGATTAATTAGATTAATAATTAACGACCCCGTGTCCCTAAAATGATGTTAATGTTCAACTGAACTGTGTTTTCTGTAACAGGTTGAGGGAATCAGCTAAAAGATGGAGGTTTGTGGCCCATGTGGCTCATTTTTACTCACTGTTTGGTTCAGTTTCAGCTCAAAACTACTTTTTTTTTAAGGAAAATATCCGACTTTAGTTGACACGTCAGCAACAATCGAAGCTCGGTTCAGTTCAGGCGCTAAAATGATGAAAAAGCTGCTTTAAAAATGACTTTTTCAGTTGGTATTTGAAGCTTCTGCTGCATTTTCTCGCCTGATATTTAATTAATTGGCTAAAAAAGGAGCAATAAATAAAAAAAGCAGCAGAGTTGTGTTGGTTTAAAACGTGTTTGTGATCCACGACGAGCTTAATCCAGCAGAAATAAGTTCCCTTCCACCTGCAGCTCAGGTGTTCAGGAGGCTGACGTTCTGGGAGTCGAGGTCGGTTTTGTGACGTTTTCAGGAACCAACGAGCGATGTTAGCGTCGCGTCCCTTTAAACCTGCCTGTGGATTATTGTTCGAGCGTCGCTTTGGCTGCTCTGAGCGGGTTTTTGTTTCCAGGAAAAGCTTCTTACTCGACGGCAAGAAAAGCCTCGTGTTCATGTCAGAGTCGAGGAATCATTTCGGTTGTTGTGTAACACGAGAAGCATGTGAGTCTGCAGCGGGTCTAATTTATGCAAAATATGTGATGAAATGCACACGAGAAGTCACGTTTGTGGCCTCTCTGGGCTTCCGTACTTGTTCATTAGGGATGTTTTAGTTTCCCGTTAGCTGGACTTAAAAACTAAACGTGTGATTTTTGCAGCTCTTTAGCAGCAGGATTGTTCAAAGTGCTGTTTTTTAACGCTGACGACCCTTTAAAACCACTAAATAATCAATAATCAGCATCATGTGTAGATATTTCTGTGAGCGTATTTCTGAAGACAAACTGGTTTATTTTGATGGTTATAAAGTCTGAAAGGAGCCAAAAAAGATGCAAAAACAAGCATCAATAATACAGAAAACTAACATTTATTTATTGAACAAGCAGGTTGGGAACCAAACAATCCTGTTTCTCAAAAATAATGGCTAAACCGCATTAACGAAACCTGTCTTCTGCTGTTTTACACTTAATTAAATGGAGGATCCAGCTGTTCAGATTATATGTTTCTTGTCGAAGCAACAAATTCATGCAAAATATGTAAAAAGTCACGTTTGTGGCCTCTTTGGGCTTCCGTAGTTTCCCATGAGCTGGATTTAAAAACTAAACGTGTGATTTTTGCAGCTCTTTAGCAGCAGGATTGTTCAAAGTGCTGTTTTTTAATGCTTACGACCCTTTAAAAGCACTAAATAATTAATAATCAGCATCATGTGTAGATATTTCTGTGAGCGTTTAGAGCTGCTAAAGACAAACTGGTTTATTTTGATGGTTCTAAAGTCTGAAAGGAGCCAAAAAAGACGCAAAAACAAGCATCAATAATACAAAAAACTAACTTTAACCAGCACATTTAATTACTGGACGCGCAGGTTGGGAACCAAACAATCCTGTTTCTCCAAAATGACGTTAAACAAACATGTTTCTGCTGTTTTACACTTAATTAAATGGACGATCTGACTGTTCAGATCATATGTTTCAACAGATTTATGCAAAATATGTAAAAATGCACACGAGAAGTCACGCTTGTGGCCTCTCTGGGCTTCCGTACGCGTCGCTGAAGGATGCAGGTGTGTCATTTTTCCAGTTTAAACACAAACAAACGAGTGAAATGTTCCTTTCCGGTCCGTCTGTGAGCACAAACACCTGTTGGATGCGGCTTCAGGATGCTTTTGGGAGAGGCGGCCCCGTTCAGAGAGCGGAGCTGCAGCGCTGCATGTCTGAAGGGGAACTATTTTAAGCCTCGGTGGTGCACTTTTTTTTTTTAATGCTGGAAATAGCTGCTGCAGCGTCAGACGGGAGCCGGTCGATGTCGGAGCCGCTGAAATGGTTTTCCTGTGCGTTTTGTCGGGACGTCAGTGCTTCCATGTTTGACTCTGTCCAACTGTAACTGGTGCAGACGTTGTTAGAAGAAGAAGCTGATTGTGTAGCTCGTCCAGTCTGCTTCCAGAGCCTCCAGAGCACATCGTCACACACACATGACTGTTAGTGTTGAAATAAACGGCAAAATGTGGAACCGTGTGTGGATTCATTCTGCAGCTTTGACTCACTTCACACAGAGTTCAGGGAACACGTTCAGAGTTTACTTGTACAACTGAGTCCAGATTTAGAGTTTGAAGCCACTTTAAAGGTTCAATATGTCCAGAAATAAAACTCCAACAGCCATGAACTGTGGTGAGGACTCAGACAGGATAGTTTATATCAGATCAGAACCATTGAATGGATCCAGCAGAGGACACAGTTTGAATTATTGGCTCTCAAAAATGGGAAGAAGTGCAAAATTTTCCACATGATTTTGGTGTTGTGGCTCCACAAAGTTCCTGTCAGTGTCTGTCTATGGATGGATCCATGGTTCTACTAGAATCCAGTCTCTGGTCACATTTCACCACCTGTTGAGGCTCTAACATCAGCAGAACCTGATGTGGTGAAGTTGGACCAGACCAGGTTCCAGGTTTTAGACATTTAGACTAAAATCAGTGGGTGGAAATGCAAAAAACTAAACGTCTGAAAACATGAAATTCTCACAGTTCAGCCATAAAACATTCCCCAGAACTCAGTTTTGGGTCCAGAGTAGCAGATAAACAAGCCCAGACTGATGTTTTCACAGTTCTCACACTCGGCTGGGAGTCGACTCTCCCTTCGGCTAAACGTCTGTTTGTTGGCTTCAGCTGTTCGGTGGCGGATGCTGTGAGAACCTGCAGGCCTGGAGCTGTGCAGTGAAAGGTGTGGGCGAGAACCAGCGCCGCCGCTCTCCACTTGTGCTTAATCGCTGCTGCATTAGTTATGACGGGATGAAACGGAGACCTGGACGCACGGATCGGGTTCCTGCTCGGCCCACCCGATGCTCAGCAGGCGTCTTCCTCTGAAACCTCCTCCTCCGACCGGAAACGCTTCGGTTTCAGGGTTCCTGCAGGAAACAGATTAACGGAGTCTAAGCCAAGGTGCTCACAGCAAACATGCCTTAAGCTTTAAATATTCAGCAGCAGCTTTTCTTCTTTTAGAGAATTTGAAGCAAACTTCTAAACATTTTGCAAAAAATGACAAAGAAAATGTAAGTTTGGCTCGTTTCTGATCGGAGGACAGCTGACTTTATCGTCAGCTGGTCAGTTTTACATCCATCCACACTTTAATGTCATTATGAAAATGTTCTGAGTCATTTTCAACAGTTTTTAGTGACTCTAGACAGATGTCGCGTCTTTTTGAACAATCTGTGAGTCACTTTGGACAAATTTTAAGAAAATTTTAGATGACTTTCGTGTAATTTGACCAATTTTTTGATGAAAAACCCAAACATCTGAGTTCTGGTAGAACCTGACACCAGATCAGTTCTACATCCATCCAGGTGTCACCGTCTGAACACTGGAGGTTTGGATGAATTTGAGTCATTTTTGATCATTTTTGTGTAATTTTTGGACGACTTTCACGTCATTTTAAACTCTTTTGGAGTGATATTGGACATTTTGGACAATTTTCGTGTCATTTTAAACCATCTGAGTCATTTAGGACAATTCTTCTGTGATTCTGGATGACTTAATTATTATTTTTTTAACCATTTTTGATGGATGAAAACCACATCTGAGTTCAGTTAAAAATTACAAACTAAATCAGTTTTACATCCATCCAGGAGTCACAAACACACGGAACACATTTCAGGTCATTTTGGACAAATATGAGGAATTCTGAGCAATTTAGGACAAATTCTGTGTAATTTTAGACGACTTTAATATAATTTAACCACTTTTTGATGGAAAACACATCTGAGTTCTGCTAGAACCTGACACCAGATCAGCTCTACATCCATCCAGGAGTCTCAGTCTGAACACTGGACCTGGTTCTGTTCATGTCCTGTGCCAGCAGCTGGTAGCATCAGTATTATGGGATGTGTCATAGTGGTACCAGTTTAATGTCTATGACATAGAGTCATAGAAACAATCATCGGTACCCTGGATATGGTTCTGGTTCTGATCATTCACCAGAGGAAACTTTGCAAAGTGAATTCTGGGTAAACTTTCCAGGCTCATGTCAGCATGTGTGATGGTGGCTGGTCAGAACCAGTTCTAGACGATGGAAGGACTGTTTTACCTCCAGAACCTACCAGAACCACCTGTAGACAGGATTCACTCTGTGAGGAAATACATTCCTGATCTCTAATGTCTTTAAAAAGTGGTCAAACGACATGAAAGTTGTCTAAAATTACACAAAAAATGTCCTAAATTTGTCCAAAATGACTCAAAACTTCTCCAGATTTCCAGTGTTCAGACTGAGACTCCTGGATGGATGTAGAACTGATCTGGTGTCAGGTTCTAGCAGAACCCAGATGTGTTCTTCCTCCTAAATGTCATGTGTCTATCTGCTGTACTGATGAAGTTCTGAGGCTCAGAAATGATGGAAAAAGTCCATTAAGGTGATCAATCTGGGCCCTCCTCTGTGGACATCAAGGACCTGGACCTCTGGAACATTCACAGTCTGAAGGTAGAACTCTGGTCAGGAGGAACTTCATTCAGCAGTTTATTCTCCTGTCGGTTGGTTTTAATGTCGGTTTATTTCCCCGTTGGTATTCCTTCATTCCAGCACTCCTCCTCCTCCGTCTCTAACGAGTCCAACCTCTCGTCGGTCCGACCGGCGGGATTCCAGACATTTCTCTGAACAAAGGTAATAATTTGGTGCCGGTTCCTCCTGCGGTGATGTGACGATTGAGCCTCGCCCTGCTGCTCCGAGCAACGTCTGGCATCCATAGAATCACCTGCATGCATCTGCATTTAACCGCAAACACCGGAAACCCTAACCCTAACCCTCCGACAGCTGCAGCAGGTTTTCTCCTGAACCCACAAATATCCTCCTGAAAAATCTAAGAGGAGCTGGAAAAAAGGCTGAATGTCGTGTGTGGCAGCTACAACATCAAAAAACAGCCAAAAATAATGAAAAAAAGTCTAAAAACATCGTGTCATTATGAGAATTTAAAGTGTTAACGTTGCCCAGAGACGTTTACGGGCTGAAAGGTTGAAATCACCAAAGTTTAAGTGATAAATTCAACTGAAAGCGTTAAAAACAGTTGATGTCCTGCAAGAAACATCGTCATTTAAAATAAAAATATCAATATTTTGAGATGAGAATAGAAATGCATGCCATTAGCTTAGCTTAGCATAAATCCGGCTGCAGCTACATCTTGATTTTTTCAAACCTTCGTCCCAGAGCTGAAGCGTTTCTCACCGCCTGTATCTTCGGTTTGTTCTGCGCCTGAATTAGCAGGAGGCTGCAAACCGAGACGGTTCAACACTTACCAGCTGAAGAAGCAGATATCAGTCATTTAATACACGTCAGGTCTGTTTATCGTCATTCTTTCAGGACAAACGACGTTTAGCTTCCTGAATCTTAAAAAGTTCAGCTTCATCTGTGACGAGCACTCTGTGAAAAACAAAGAAAGAACAAGAAAAACAGTAAAAATATCACAGCAAGGGCGCCAAGAACACTTGTAGGATAACGTAACGTTCAAAAACTGGGAAAATATTTGCAAATATATGTAAAATAAATTTTAAAAATATAGATTTTGAAGGCACACGTTAAAAAAAATCATTCTTATTTGCAAAAATACAGATTTTTTTTTGATGTGGACATTTTTCACTGTTGAATCCTGTAATTTTATTAATTTTTTTTTACAGTCAACATATAAATTATAAATTTTTCTGTGATTTTAATCGTTATTATCTGTAATTGAACAATACAGGGAAAACCTGGGAAAGTCAAGTACATTTTTCAGAGAATTATAACTGTTCAAACAAGAGCGTGTTTAAATTAATAATAATCATTAATTAATCATTGCAGGTAATCAATAATTAATCACTGCAGTCTGCACAGGTCGGCCGAGTGCACTGATTGATGACGAGCATTTTTTGTCGACTTGACAGCTCAGCAGGTTTCCAGATAAACTCCAAACTCTGAACAGAACCTCCTCCTGAGCGGGTTAGCGTCGTAGCATCCGTTACCATGGTGATGTAGCTGCGCAGCATCCGTTACCATGGTGATGTAGCTGCACAGCATCCGTTACTATGGGGATGTAGCCTTGCAGCATCTGTTACCGTGGTGATGGAGCCGGTTAAAGAGAGCCACCGTCCTGCCAGTGAAAACTTGAGGTTTTAAATATTCTGCTAACTCTTTAATCTCTCATCTTTCTGTTCCGGCTGCTTGAACACTTTATATTTTCACTCCCGTCACCGTCTCCTGTCTCAGGTTTCACGTCTGTCTCCGCTCCGTCCTCCTCTGGTCACCGGTCGAACCCTCGGTAACGTCTCCAACCCGACCAACCAGCAGCTGAAACACAGCAAACTGCAGCATCCGAGGCTAACTCACCACCACAGTGTGTTTCTGACCTCCTGCTGTTTTACTGGAACTCTAACGTTACGCAACGCGACGCTTCGTACGGAGCCGACGGGTTTACGTAACCTCGTTAGCGTCCGTCCTGGTGTTTGTGTTCGGCAGCGCCGCTCCGAGGCCCGTCAGCAGCAAACAGCGCCGCCTTTATGTAAGCAGCGCCGCAGACACAAGCTGCAGGAGGCGAAGACGCAGCTGATTTACTGAAGTTCATTAACGTCACACTGAGAAGACAATCATCTGCATTCTGCTACATCTTCAGATGTTTTTCAGCGAAGTCGTGCAGAGTTTGATGATATTATTCAGGTTTCAGAAGCTTTTCCTCTAATATTTAGGCTGTTTGCACAACACACCTTCTCTTAAAAGGGCTGCACACAACTATGATAGAAATATTTGAATTTCTTTGATGGTCTGTTTTACAAAAATATTGAAAACCTGGAATCAAAACCTGCAACACGAACCACATTTTTAATCAGTTTCCAGACTCGTCTCCTCTCTGCCTGCAGTTTGATCAAAAACTCTCTGAATTTTAGTCACGTGACTGTTGGTCTCAGCTGAGTCGTTCAGGGCTTCGTATTTGCAGCAAGGAGCTCAGAATTTTTTCATTTTTACAGATAAACTTTTTATTTTTTAGCAAATTTTTTATCA